AATCTGCTGGTGGTGCGGGAACGAGATCTCCGGCCAGTGGGGCTGCATCCCCACGCGGCTAGGACCGGGACTCGCCTACAGAGATCCCAATGTCACAACGGAGACCGTCGCACGGAAAGTGAGAAGGGCAGCGGATGTTTTAGCCGCCCTCGCGGGCGAGCCGGACATTGGTTTTGTGAAGGTGATTGGGCAGGTGGAGGCGGACTTGTTCCAACTCCACTCAGCCTACAACGACTTCAATGCCGCTATGTTCGAAGAGTTCAGGCAGCGCGGTCTGCAAGTGCAAACCGCAAGCTCCTTGGTCGAAAAGCTGGAAATGTATGACAGCTTTCACGCCAGCGAAGACCCTCGCAACCGCGAGTTATTCCAGACCTACTTGCATGCGACTATCAATGCAAGCAGGAGCGAATGGCTTGCCCAGAAGATGGCACCCTGTGTCAGGGCTTTGCTTGTTCGCTATGAGCACTTTGAGACTGGCTCCGATGCCAACAATCCAGTGCTCGATGATGTCTTCAAGCAGTGGCGTGCAGAGAAGGACCAGCTGATGAACCCGAAACAGGCCAAGCCAATGCCGGTCACCCAGGAGGATAAGATGTGGGAAGCCCCAGATGCCGCTGACGCAATCGACGTCAATAAGATCTCCGAGGGGCCACCCATGGATAAAGCCATCCGCAAGGATGTGCCAAGGATCGGTGCAACCACGGACGTCAGTGCTGTGGCGGAATGCGTCAATGACATCGTCACCCAGGACGCAGACGGCAAGGTGTCCTACAACACCCCGGGCACGGTGGAGCTGGTGGACGAGGGCGACCAGGTCGACCCTATCCCCTCATCGATTGGACGTGTTGTTGAGCCAGCGCCTCCGAAGAAGACTAAGAAGTCTGATCGAGACGAGGATGCCATGCGAAGGCTCATGTTCATCGATGAAAGCGCCCCGCAAGGGGCTGCCACTGTGCCAGAGCTTCCAAATGAGTACTTCTACAATGGCAAGAAGCACTTGATGAAGCCCTTCAACCCGGAGGACATTGTAGGAGACAGGCACGTGACATTCAAACACGGAGACCTGAAGTTTCTCACCAAGCTGCTGCGTGGCCATGAAATGGACGACTTCCCTGCATTGATCTTTGACCGTGGGTGCTGGACAGACGTTGACACTCTGCTCCAGGTCTTCAACACGGCACGAGGCGCACGCTGGGGTGTGAGGCAGCTGCTACGCGCAGCGAAAGCCGATAATAAGGGACGGATCAGACTTTTGGGCATTGACGTCCCAATGAAGGACACCCTGGGTCAACCGCTATTCCCTGTCAGAGTGAGGATGGCCCAAGGGCATAACTCCAAGCTCATCGGCAATAACCCGGACGCGGACTTCTTCCTTGCGACCAGGTTCTACAGCGGATTGTCCGAGTACGAGGCCGACCTGCAGAGCAGCGTCAGGGGGGTCACTGTGCTCTCCCGCGAGGATACCCCCCCAAAGCTCTTCCACCGCACGAACGAAAAGGGAATGAAGGGTATCCTCCGCGATGGAATGATCGCCGGCTCCGCGAGGTCAGACAGGTCCCACAACTACCTGTCCCCGTACAAGTTGGACGACACCCACTACAAGAGTGGAATGCGCTCCAACCAGCCGATCGAGCTGACGATAGACACGCAGCGAGCAATCGCCGCTGGATGCGTTTTCTTCGTCACGGAGACCGACGGCGTCCTCACACGTGACAATGTGCCTCCCGATTGCGTGCTGTCCGCCATCGACACCAGCAAAAAGAACCTCCCGCTCTACGTCGCCGAGCACAAAGAAGCCGCCCGCGAGGGTGAGCCAGAGCGCATTTTCCGCGCAAAGCGCGACTATGAGGAGGCCGCAGCAGCAAGCTCATCATCGGCACCGCCCCCAAAACAGGCGGCTATCGCTCACAAAGCGATTGCTTCAAAGAAGATGCCGAAGGTGGTTCCCAAGCCCGCCGCAATCGCCGAAAAGTACGAAAGCATGGACTTGGATGAAGCCACCCGCGAGGGTGAGCCTGCTGATGCTGCTGGTGCATTCGACCTTGACGAAACCAAGGTTGAGGTTGAGGTCGAAGTCGATGAAGGCGATACAACGGATGCGGGTGAGGATGAGCCGTACCCACTTGGCTCTCACCCATGCCGCGAGTGCGCAGCAGTTGTTGCCAATGGCATGCTGTTCTGCCTCCGTTGCAAGGCTCCCCAGACGGATGACTCCAAGAAAATCACAAAGCGAGTCTTTGAGAATTCGAGACTCCGCCAGCGCCTTCTTGCCACCGCTGCGACTGGAGCCCAGAAGCCCATCGATGATCTCCTCGCGAGTGACCTTCGAGGCCTGGGCGAGGGACCAAAGAAACGTGGTCAGATGAGCGCGGAGGCCGCCGCCATTCGTGACGCCAAAGACCGAAAGATCAGGGCCGCCAAGTTGAACTTTAACACCGTGTCCGACCGCTTCGAGAAGGACGCGCAGTTCAACGTGAGAATGATGCAAGAGGGCCGCAGCCTTGAGGACATGCAGAAATTCGATCACCTGTCGAACGCTGTGCTTCCCGATCCAGGACGCAGTGAGGAGCAGCGCTACTTGCGTGCTGGCTCCCATTATGGTGGTGGCAATGTCCCGCCTGCGAAGCTGGTCTATTATGCCCACTGCGAAGTGGAGCCGTTGAGGAACTTGCGGTTTATCGATGATACCGCGGATGTCCCCATCGGCTTGACCTACCTCGGTGCATTCCTCCCTCCGCGACTCTATGCTGAGGTGGCAGCAGTGAACGACGCTGCAAAAAGGATCCTGACTTTCGACGGCGAAGTCTATGTGTCAGCTACCACAATTGAAGGCATCACAACTGAGATCGGACAGATTCTTACCGATAGCCTCCGTAGTGCTCAGGACCAGACAGACCAAACGGAACGTCTGGCAGAGCGCAATCGCCAGGCTGCAGTCCAGAACCGCCCATCCCAAAAGGGACGTGGTCGCACGACAGCACCTGAGCCCATGTACAGAGGCTATACTCAGGCCCAGTGGGACGAGTACTATCGCCAGCGTCGTGGAGGTTACACTCAGGCCGAGTGGGATGCATGGAACCGCACCCATAGGCGCTGAGTCCTCATTCTGATTTGCTTCGGACCTGCAGGGCTTCCCCGTTGTGCTTTATAAATGCTCGCTTTGGCAAATTCCCAAATCCGTTGAAGCCCAGGGCAACCTGGAGCCATGTACTATCCGCCTTAGCTCGAGCAGCACGGCGAGGGGGGTGTAGATTTTACCCTGCCTCCATTGCTATTCCTATGGTCCTTAGCTATGTCTTTACGCGACCGCACTTGGCCCAAGTCCCCCGTGGAAAAAGGTCACAAGGGTTGACTGACCGGTAACTAGACGTGCCAAGCTGGTAGCCTGGGAAACTTCACCACTGCCAGGGAAGACAGATGATTTGCAGTTTCTGTCTTTCGATTTGATGGATCTTTCCCAGATGTCCTGAGAGCATCCTGAGTTGTATATGAGTATGTAAGGTCACCTTTTTGAAACCTATGAGTCTATTGGGCTTCTAAATAGCATCGAAATGACGAGATTTCTGATAATTAGAAAGCTTTGCAGCTAATTATCCGGTATTGCTCCCGTTGAAAGTTACAGAGAGCCCAGAGTTACTAGATCACAGATATTATTCATGTTAGGCGCGTCATCTTTTGTTGAAATAATCTTGAGTGAAAAAAAGCAGTGTGCCGAAATGCCCTGATGAAAAAACATTGAAAAATATGATTTTGCTCTTGAGCAAATGTATTTCTTGGAGTTTTGTTTTAAATTAGCTTTTTGTTTCGCGATGGATGGATAAGTTGGAGTCCACGACATCGAAAACCACGCGTTTTCAACAAGGCATCTTGACTCAACTTTTGGTGGTTGCCATTTTGTATTTTATGTCGTTTGTGTTTTGCGCGTGGTTCGGTGAATGAAAAACACACATGGTGTGGGTGCAATGTGTAAAGTGCAGGGTGTAGGGTCTGCATGAAAAAGGTGGGTGTAAGACTTGTGGCGTTTCGAAGCTGAGCGGCATCTGCAAGCAGCACGTGTTACCAACTTCAGGTGTTCATTGTCTTAGAGACGGTGTTGAGTCAATTCAAAGGAAAGTGCAAACGATGGGATTGAACACGCCGGCATCCCAAGCCAGGAAGGCTTGCCATGCCGACGCAGGCCACTGCAATTCAAAGTGGGCGGTCAGAGTCAGTGGTTATCCGGCGGCTAGATCATAGGTACGTTTTCATTTCTCAGCATACAAATTCATTCAAAGATGAATTTTTGTGAATGCCAATTTTCTCGAAGATTAATGCAGATAAAGTTTGAATTTTGTGAGAACATGCGAAAATCGAAACCAGCCGTCAGGCAATGAAAACCATGCGAGCATTCCATATGGAAAAGTTGTTGTTTCAAGGTGCTTTTGAGAAACATTAGTTGTTTAGGACCGGGATGATGTCGGCCGTTGCAAATGTTGAATGGTTAACGAAATTTCAACTTTTGCAAAAGCATGGACAGTTTTTCAGCCGTTCAAGTTCTGTAACATTTCCAGCGTGTCACTTAGAGAAAAGTTTCATCAAGCTGGCACATGGCGGTATTCAAAATGTCATCTATTGTGATGTGTGCGAGTTTGTTTCTCAACATGAGTGCCGAACTTCCAGTCGAGCAACTTGTTGAACATGTCCAGGAAGTTCACAAAGGTTCATCGAAACACTTTTCAGCATCAGAGATCATCCGTTCCACAAGCGCGTATGGCAGTGTTTCCACGTTGTCAGAGCTCCGCCTTTGAGCGAAGCATTGGAACTGATGAATCTGACTTGCAATGTTCTTTCAAAAGGTTGAAAGTCTTGACATCCGACGTTTTTCGCAGTTTCATCCAAAAAATGCTACGTGTTGCTAATCTTAAGCTGCTTTAACATGGAGGTTAGACCATACAAGACTGTAAAGGTCCCAAACACATAGTCATACGACAACACTTCAAATTATGGACTGGTCGCACAAGGAGGGTATTCCGCCTGACCAGCAGCGCCTCATCTTCGCTGGAAAGCAACTGGAAGACGGGCGTACGTTGTCGGATTACAATATCCAGAAGGAATCGAGATGCCGATCTGGGATGGTTTTAAGTTTCCCTTATTGATTGAATGTGTAGGACACTAAGTCTGACGAGCGGTTGTGGGTTCCTGTTGAAAATCGATACCTAGGAGAGCACCTTGCACTTGGTGCTGCGCCTGCGCTGAGTTTGCTGTACTTGCAAGCAGTAATCCACAATTTCCCTTGCAGAGCATCCGTGGACACCGTCATTGTACCTTATGGTGGAGTCGCGGCTTCAATCTCCGAGATGAAGCGGTTACCATAGTCTGTTGTGCAACCACCGCGGACTCATGCAACGAAGCTGTGCACACACTTTTGTTCCCAAGCGTGTTAAGGCATCAGGTGATACACCCATAAACAAGCAGCTCCAGTAGCTTGGAGCCGGTGAAACTGCTATCATGCTTGGGACTTCCAACTTCCAGGGTTGAATCGCGCTCAGCCGTTTGTACAGACTTCATCCTGGCCTCTTCGGAGACTCGCTGGCGACTTGAGCCAAAACTTGCAGAGCTTTCTGCGAGCTGTTGCGAGGGTCCATTGAACCATTTGGGCACAAGAGGCTCTGTTTCTGGGCTACCGGATGCTGTCCTGAAATAATCACGCCAGACTCTTCGTACTCGTAGTCAGTCAGCTGGTCAACCTCGTCTCCGTGTCACAAGTGCGACACTGCTTCTCTTCGAGAAGCCGGCAATCGTCGACGTCAGCGCAATCTTTCTTCAGCAGGGGTTGTTCCGGGCTGAGGCGTAATCCGTAAGAGTCCGAACTCCCTCGGATTGAGAAGCTGTGGCCAAGGGTGCTGACGTCGAACTTTCCCAGAGCCCGGGCAAAATTTGAGCCCAAACGAAGACCCCAAACAGAAGACTTGAATTTCTGCAGGCAGTGGTGGGGCTTTTGCGAGTGCTGAGCTCAAACTACTTGGGCCTGCAGGGTTGTTTATTCAAGCCTTCTGGGGTTTGCAGGGAAAGTCGATCCGGAGGTTGAATTGGAGAGTTGGTGAAGGCGTACGGAGTAATGGATTCTTTGTGGTTAATAGTCAAAAAATTTGCGGACTGGGCACCTTGCGCATTTGTAGCTTTGCGCTGAGGACGGGTCGGAATGACATCAACATCCGCAATAGCAATAATGTGAGCTTGACTTTCATGGGCAAAGTGTTGGGGTTTTGAAACTGAGACGAAAAGAGCCGGGAAATGCCAGCTGTGTGGAACCAGCTACCAAGTCCTCAGCCGCCCGTTTTCATATCCCTTTGATGCACCAACAGAAACCCCTCAACGCTGATCCTCGAACGTCCTGTGAACCCCTAAACCCCTAAACCCGAAACCCCAAAGCCCTACTAAATCCCCAAACTTAAAAAACACACGCAATATACTCGCAACAACCCCCCAACAAAACGGCGGGGATCGCGCCCCGCGCCCCGCGTCTTGGCCTTCGAGCCCAGGGCCGAGGGAAAGAACAACCGCCGGGACCCGCAGAGGTCGGAGAACCGGACATGGAAAGCAATGGCAAAAAAGTGTTGTAATGCTAGTTAATGCTATTATTCATCAGTGTGAGTGCGATGGCTCATGATGGCTAATGATGGTCGTGAGCTTCTCTTCCGTTTCTTGTGTTCTTCTTGCCTTTGTTGTAGTGGTTGTTCTGAGTGTTCATATGCTGAGACAGACTTTCATTTGCGCTGTGCTTGTTCTTCAGAGTGTGCTCGTGGTTGTCACCATTCTGCTCATTGCTGTCGCTGACTCGCTTGTACAGACATTGCTGTCATTGTTGCTGTTCTTGTTGTTATCACTGCCAGCGTTGCCGGCTGTATTCGCAGATGCGAGCTATTGAGTGAGAAGCTTCACTTCACGCAAGCAGCATCCGAAGTGGTCGGAGTCTGGTGTACTCTCGCCTTGGATGGTAGGAGTGGGGTTGTCTCGGTTGTGCGCGTATCTTACCTCGTTCGGCCCTCACCTCGTACGACTAAGCTCTCGAGAAAGCCGGATCCCTCAAAAGGTGGACAGCAGACCTTCAGAATCGTGCTCCCGGCAATTCCGTCACAGGCACACCCTCCACTCCCTGCGGCGATTTTTTTCGCTGCGGGAGCAGGGCACCCTTCCGAAAATACGGCTGGCTCCTGAGAGATGCACCAGGGCTCATCCTTGCAATTTATGAAGCATCGCTGATCGGACAGACATGGAGTCATACGCAGTACATGTAAGCGGTGGCGAACCACCATACAGAGCAGCAACAGCGGCAATGGAAAGACAGCGTCCGTGATTGCATCACTGATCACCTTGGCAATTGTGCCAAGCGTGTTAAACAAGCAAACAAAAAAAAGTGTGGGCAATCATGATAGCCATGATGAGGGAGTGTTCATGGCGATCGTGATATCAGCGACGGTTAAGGTTCTCCAAACTCGCGACCATGCATGAACACATGCTCTTTATGATGCAGCATGTGCATGGATAATCTCTGACGACGCTGTCCCCAGTGTGGTACCATTGCCGTCCTCATCACCGTTATCGCCAACCCTAGGACTCTCTTCCTCCTCCAACCCGTTGTTGACATCGTCCTCGCGGACTCATGAAGAAATAGGACCGCGAGTCGCGAGGGGCCACAGTCATGCTACTACCAGCAAGAACAGCCGCAATCTTGACTTCCCTCGTCAATGAGGCCTAGCTCCGGCCAGCCGGATGCCCAGACAAGGGATGCTAAGCAGCGTAAATTGCAGTTCAGGCTTCTTGCCAGGGAGGTTGCGGTTCGAGGTAAAGTTTGGTGGTGTTTACAGCCACGATGCCTCGCAGAATCACGGAGACTGTTTAACAGGATGTAGGGGAAAGTGCCAGCACTCAGTCGTGATGCGCTTCGCTATCTCAGCCTTGCTCCACACTTAACAAAGCTTTCTCAAAGAGGCCGAACGACTTCGCATTCAGAAGGTTGTCCAAGGAAGAAGAGCCTTTTGACATCAGTTGTCCGCAAATTGCAAGGCCTGACCCCGAGACGCACCAGTACTGGGTTCGGACCCTGGAGCCGGGAATCCAGCGAGCCCATCGCCACCAGGAAGCTTCTGGAGCCTCTGTGGTCTCAACGATGCAAAGTTTTGACCCATGGATTTATGCTTTGTGCTCAGCTCCCGATGCGCCTAGGCCCAAAAGCTCAAAGACGCTCTGCGGGCGTATCTTGGGCTCGTTGTCCCAGCCGCAAGTTCGAGTTTAAAGCTGCCAGCTGGTGGGGCATCGACCAAAATGGTGCCTCCGTGCAGAAAGATGCGAGGAAGCTTTGTAGACAGAGGTTGAGCTTCGGGGCCAGCTGGCAGGCCTGGGCTTGCTTAGGAAAAAGCTGTACGCTCCTCGCTTCCTCCCGCTTTGTTTCATCTCTCCCCCTTTCTTGTGACTCCCAGCCTTAATTGCTCCTTAAGTTTGCAGTTTCCCAGCTTTGGCTGAGTACGTTCGACACTTTCAGAGGATAAGACACGGCCAGGTCCGCCGACTTGAAGCAGCGCTGGTGGGACTATTGTGTCTCTTTGCTGGCAGTTTGAGGTTTGGGCCAAGAGTTATGTCTTGGGTCTCCAGGAGTTTTGCGAAAGGATCGCAACTGAAATTGTTTGTTTCCCCGCTCTCTAGATTGTGGCATCTTCCCCCACGACAGCCACGACCGCCACCGTTAGGAACAAGAGTGTCAGTGGGGGTAGCAGCAGCTTCATGCGACAAGAACGCGATGCTCCGAAACAGAGACCTCGGCTCATTTGGATCCTTTCGATCCCGAGGACAAGCAACCTGGTGGATTGCGGGATCCGTCGAAGTCCCAGCTCGGGGAAGGGGGTTTCGGGACCCGTCCAAAGCCGAGCTGTTCCAAACATCTCCTAGCAAACAGTCAGCAGAAACCCTGAACCAAAACTTTAGCTTAAGGCGCGTGGGATTTGTTTGAGATTGTCAGGTGGACAGTAGCCCGGTAGGCTTTTGTTTGTGTTGAATCTGTGTCCATGGCGAATGCATTTGTTGACTGTTCTTGCTTTGCTCGTGTGCGCACAATCCCCGACATTCCAACCCGGGCGTTCTTTGGAACTTTCCGACTGCGTGTAGAGCCGGGCCTCCAAAACAAGCAGGAAACGTTGCATCGCTGAGCCTCAGGCACCGCCACTCGACGAAGTCGATTCAGTCGCTCAGAATGAAGAGTTTGAGGGGCTTGGGGCGGTTCCCATCTTAGGCTCAGCCGGTGGCTTCACGTGTGCTTCTCCAAAATTCATGGTCCCAACGGTAGCTGGGGGCCAATTAATTAGTTTGAGTTGATGCAAGTTTGAGACCCCACGTGGTCACCTCACCGAGCCTTCTCCTGTGGCTCGAAACCTAAGCTCTTCTCTCTGGTGCTACCCGGCAGGGGTAGAGACACGCCGTCAAGCAGACAGACGTTGGCTCGTTAGTGGGCGGTAGTGCCCGACCCTGCTACAAGGCAGTAGGCAGTTGCGTTTAGCGAGTGGATCTAGGTTAGGTTTCTGGCTTTGCAGCAAGTTGGCAAGGTAAGTCAAGGATTGGTTCGGGGAGTGAGAAGGGTGGGTTGACACCTCAGCCAGTTTGCATGCCCAGGACCTTCTTCGAATTCTATGCTGGGGAGCGGGGCTCCCAAGATTTGCTTAGCTTCCGCTCCAGGGTTTCGGCTTTGCACATGAAAAGAGCCTTGAGCCCTTCGTCTCACAGCCGTCCTTAGGTTGATGATGAGTGAAGCCGAGAGCATCGGACAGAGTGCAAGAACCAATAACACAGCACAACTGAAGCACATATCAATCAAGTTCCCCCAAACACATCTGCTCATCGTTTTGGCATGTCTTCCTTCCGGCTCAACCCTCAGCACTCAAACCCTTTCTTTGATTTGAGGTATGGTACGCCACCGCTTCTGGCGGCAGCTGCAGCGACGGCGGCTGTGAGCCGCGGCCTCGATCAGTAGGACTTGGGGGGCACATGACTTGGGGGACGGGGTTGACAGGTTTAGGGCCGTTTAGGGTTTGGCGCGGGATCAGGTCTGAACTGACGGTACTCAACACGCAAGTAGTCTGTTTGCAGGCTCTATGCATCCCGTGAGATGTAGTTGCGTAGGCAGGTTGCAGATTCGGGCGTCTGGGATGAGGATATGGATTTGGTCGGTGTGAAGGCTCCCGGAGAAGCAAGAACCCTCAACCGTT